GGGAGGCATTTGAAGGTGAGCAGTTTTGCTGCTGTTCGTTGCATAAAGGTTGGTTATATTTTCAGAGCGTTTTTAAGTTGTTCCCTGCACCTACATGGAACAGGTTTCAAAACAAAAGCACGTCTTTCTGATCCCGTACAGGTATATTTCTTATTGCAGCTAGAGATGTTATTGTCGAACCAAGTCACCTACTTAGATGTGGAATGAGAAAATGAGAGGTTTGTTTAGGTTAGGACAAAAGGGTTCACTTAGTAAGCTTTGTATATGTAGCAATATTGTCTTTAGCAACTTGCTTCATCTGCTCTTCATGACCTGCTCTGTACGCTGCTATTTCTGCAGCAAAACCAAACGCTCAGCTCCTTGTGCTACTGAGCTACAAAAGCCCGTGGCTGCCGTGCTGGCAGGGGTGGGCGCTGGTGGAGGGGCTTGGTTTTGAAGCCCCTGTCCCCAGGCAGTCATTCAAACCCGAGCCAGGTCTAACTGTCCCACATTTAGCCCAGGTGCAAGTGAAGGAAAACGTGCGCCCTAGAGATCGAGGCCAAGTTATCAGTTATCAGCCACAGGGATTCAGAATCAGACAAAAACCTGTGTTGAAAACTAAGTGGTGCCGACTCGTATCAGAGAGTGTTTTAACTCTGTGTTTACACTAATTTTGCTGGTGATTGCATGGGCAGCGGCTGCTCTTGTACCATGTAATCACCGCACAGGAATAATCCTTTCTACATGATGGGCTCCCATCCAGTGACCCAGCCTACACGTAGTGACACGGTGACGTTTGGGGACCTGTCTGAGTGGCTCCTGGTGCTGAGGGCAGTTCCTGCAGGGCAGTTGGTAGGGGCAGGGACTCTCAATCAGAAGAGTGGCTCTGGAGAAAAGGAGCTCAAAATGTTCTTAGGTCTCCTGTTATTTTCCTGTCTTGCTTCACTTTCCCTAGCAGGGCTCTACAGCACGTCATGCTCATGTCTGCAGCTATTCGGCAAGCGCTCTGACCCCACTGCCTGAAGCAGGACAACCCAGCAAAAATGTGCATGGGCCGGAGCAAGGGACTTTTGAACGCAGCTGGCCATCCAAAAAGTAACTGCGGAGTCCTAAGGAATCATGAATTTTCATTGTGAGCTCCACAGATCAAATAATAATTAACCATGCAAACACAACTAATACATAAAAAGAAAAAGGCATTTTTGGTTGAAGTGGCAGGTTTATAGTGTATGTCTAATGACATGGAGAACAATGGCCAGTGAGTTAACACAGCTAAGCTGGTACTCCATAAACCCGTTTCAGGCAGGACTGATACCGCGTGGCGCTGGCTGTTCTGCAAATATTAACTCAAGGGTGCAGAGCAGGCTGGGCTGGGGACGCTGCGCTTGGGGGCTGCTGGGGGGAGTCAGCCCCTTCTCGGGGTGCCCACAAGCCCACTGGCACCCAGGGTGCAGTGTCCACTCCAGACACTGGGGCAGGCTGCTGGGGAGGGGGTCTGGGGGAGGGCCCACCCTTCCTGGGAGCCATCTGGGGGGGGTCACCCATCGCCCCTGGGAGGTGCAACCATCAGGAGCAACCATCACTTCTGAGAGATGATCAGTGCTATTTAACATCTTTGTCTGCGACATGGACAGTGGGTTTTTTTTTTTTTCTGGTTACCACACTCTGTGCTGCACGAAGAGGAGTTCAAATTTAGGCTCAGTCTTCATTTTGGTGAGATGACCAGCTGTGTTGTGGACATTTTACCAGCAGGCAGCAGTGCACATTTCCCAACGGTTGCCAGAGAGCAGTGCAGTTTGTTGGTACCCCCAGACCCAGGCTGGAGCTGATGGGCAGCTGTGTCCAGCACAGAGCACCGTGATGTCCTGCAGGTCAGCTCCCCATCAGCCTGCTTGCCGCAGAAACGGCCTCGCACCCCCACACAGCTGGAACATCTGCATCCATGCCGTTGCTTTGTTATCATTGTGTTACGAACTGTAATGTAAGAAAGTGCAAGAGGTTGTGGCAAAGCCTTATGCTCAAAATCCCTAGAGCTATAGAAGTTTGGTTCCAATCTTTGCTTTGGTCCAATTTTGTCGGGGTGGAAGCACCAGAGCTGAGCATCCCTAAAGCTCGGGAGGCATTTGAAGGTGAGCAGTTTTGCTGCTGTTCGTTGCATAAAGGTTGGTTATATTTTCAGAGCGTTTTTAAGTTGTTCCCTGCACCTACATGGAACAGGTTTCAAAACAAAAGCACGTCTTTCTGATCCCGTACAGGTATATTTCTTATTGCAGCTAGAGATGTTATTGTCGAACCAAGTCACCTACTTAGATGTGGAATGAGAAAAGGAGAGGTTTGTTTAGGTTAGGACAAAAGGGTTCACTTAGTAAGCTTTGTATATGTAGCAATATTGTCTTTAGCAACTTGCTTCATCTGCTCTTCATGACCTGCTCTGTACGCTGCTATTTCTGCAGCAAAACCAAACGCTCAGCTCCTTGTGCTACTGAGCTACAAAAGCCCGTGGCTGCCGTGCTGGCAGGGGTGGGCGCTGGTGGAGGGGCTTGGTTTTGAAGCCCCTGTCCCCAGGCAGTCATTCAAACCCGAGCCAGGTCTAACTGTCCCACATTTAGCCCAGGTGCAAGTGAAGGAAAATGTGTGCCGTAGAGATCGACGCCGAGTTGTCGGTTATCAGCCACAGGGATTCAGAATCAGCCAAAAACCTGTGTTGAAAACTAAGTGGTGCCGACTCGTATCAGAGAGTGTTTTAACTCTGTGTTTACACTAATTTTGCTGGTGATTGCATGGGCAGCGGCTGCTCTTGTACCATGTAATCACCGCACAGGAATAATCCTTTCTACATGATGGGCTCCCATCCAGTGACCCAGCCTACACGTAGTGACACGGTGACGTTTGGGGACCTGTCTGAGTGGCTCCTGGTGCTGAGGGCAGTTCCTGCAGGGCAGGGACTCTCCATCAGAACAGTGGCTCTGGAGAAGAGGAGCTCAAAATGTTCTTATGTCTCCTGTTATCTTCCTGTCTTGCCTCAATTTCCCTAGCAGGGCTCTACAGCATGTTGTGCTCATGTCTGCAGCAATTCTGCAAGCGCCACTGCCTGAAGCAGGAACTCAAAATGTTCTTATGTCTCCTGTTATCTTCCTGTCTTGCCTCAATTTCCCTAGCAGGGCTCTACAGCACGTCATGCTCATGTCTGCAGCAATTCTGCAAGCGCTCTGACCCCACTGCCTGAAGCAGGACAACCCAGCAAAAATGTGCATGGGCCGGAGCAAGGGACTTTTGAACGCAGCTGGCCATCCAAAAAGGAACTGCGGAGTCCTAAGGAAATTATGAATTTTCATTGTGAGCTCCACAGATCAAATAATAATTAAACATGCAAACACAACTAATACATAAAAAGAAAAAGGCATTTTTGGTTGAAGTGGCAGGTTTATAGTGTATGTCTAATGACATGGAGAACAATGGCCAGTGAGTTAACACAGCTAAGCTGGTACTCCATAAACCCGTTTCAGGCAGGACTGATACCGCGTGGCGCTGGCTGTTCTGCAAATATTAACTCAAGGGTGCAGAGCAGGCTGGGCTGGGGACGCTGCGCTTGGGGGCTGCTGGGGGGAGTCAGCCCCTTCTCGGGGTGCCCACAAGCCCACTGGCACCCAGGGTGCAGTGTCCACTCCAGACACTGGGGCAGGCTGCTGGGGAGGGGGTCTGGGGGAGGGCCCACCCTTCCTGGGAGCCATCTGGGGGGGGTCACCCATCGCCCCTGGGAGGTGCAACCATCAGGAGCAACCATCACTTCTGAGAGATGATCAGTGCTATTTAACATCTTTGTCTGCGACATGGACAGTGGAATGGAGTGCACCCTCAGTAAGTTTGCTGACAACACCAAGCTTGGTGGCACAGTCAACATGCTGGAGGGAAGGGATGTCATCCAGAGGGACCTGGACAGGCTTGAGAGGTGGGTTCGTGTAAATCACATGAAGTTCAACCAAGCCAAGTGCAGGGTCCTGCACCTGGGACATGGCAATCCCAGGCACAAATACAGGTTGGGTGGAGAATGGCTGGAGCAGAAGGACTTGGGAATGCTCACGGATGAGAAGTTCAACATGAGCTGGCAATGTGCACTGGGAGCCCAGAAAGCCAACTGCATCCTGGGCTGCATCAAAATAAGTGTGACCAGCAGGTCGTGGGAAGTGATTCTGCCCCTCTACTCTGCCCTTGTGAGACCCCACCTGGAGTAGTGTGTCCAGCTCTGGAGTCCTCAACACAGGAAGGACATGGATCTGTTGGAACAGGCCCAGCGGAGGGCCACGAAGATGATCAGAGGGCTGGAGCACCTCTCCTGTGAAGACAGACTGACAGAGCTGGGGTTATTCAGCCTGGAGAAGAGAAGGCTCCGGGGGGACCTTATAGCGGCCTTCCAATATCTGAAGGGAGCTACAGGAGAGCTGGGGAGGGACTCTTTGTCAGAAGTGTACTGACAGGACAAGGGGTAAGGGTTTTAAACTGGAAGAGGGGAGATTTAGATTGGATACCAGAAAGAAATTCTTTCCTGTGAGGGTGGTGAGGCACTGGGACAGGTTGCCCAGGGAAGTTGTGGATGCCCCATCCCTGGAGGGTCCAAGGCCAGGCTGGATGGGGCTTTGAGCAACCTGGTCTGGTGGGAGGTGTCCCTGCCCAGGGCAGGGGGTTGGAACTGGATGATCTCTAAGGTCCCTTCCAGCTCTAACCATTCTATGACTCTGTGATCTGGGTGGGCGACCCACCGCATCCCCCCCGGGCAGCAACGCGGGGTGGTGACCCGGCGAGGGGGGGAACCCCCCGGTGCCCCCAAAGCGCCGTCGGGGCGGCCGTAGGTGCAGCGCTGAGCGAAGCCCCGCGGGGGTGCCGGCTGCGGGGCCGTGCGGGGGGGTTCCCGCGGCGGGCGGGGTTCCCGCGGCGGCGGGGGCGGCCCCGCTCCTCCCCCGTGGGCGGCGCCGCGGCGTTTTTAGGGGACGGCGGCGGCGTGACCGGGCCATACCGTGCCGTGCCGGGATGTCGGTGGGGGTGTCGCTGCTGGCGGTGGCCGCGCTGCTCTGCGCCGCCCCGCCGCCGGGTCCCTGCGGTGGAGGGGGGGCGGCGGCCGCCCTGACGGTGTGGACGGCCTGGCTGAACGTGTCGTGGGAGGACAGCACGGACCGCAACCGGAGCGGCTGGGAGGCGAGCGAGAGCGGGCTGTACGGGCTGGATTCGCCGGTGCGGGGGGCCGCGGGGCTGCTGGTGCTGCCCGACGGCCGCGACTCCTTCAACGCCTGCAGCGCCCGCACCAACTTCAGCGGGGCCCCCCCGGCCGGTGGTAGCGGCGGCGGCGGCGATGGGGGGTCCTCGGAGTGGCTCGCCCTCATCCAGCGCGGCGGCGGCTGCACCTTCGCCGACAAGATCCGTCTGGCAAGGTTGCGGGGCGCCTCCGCCGTCGTCATCTACAACTACCGAGACACCGGCAACGACGTGCTGCCCATGTCCCACCCGGGTGAGCCGCCGGGAGCGGGGAAGGGCGGGGGGATGCGGTGGGACCTGCCCCCTCCCTCCCCTCTGTGGGGTGGGAGAGGAGAGGGCAGGGTCCGGGTGAGCCCCCAGCCGAACGGAGCCGGCTTTGGCGCTCGGTGGGAGAGCGGGGTTTGTTTCTGGCTCTCCCGCACTAGAAGAGTTCCTGCCTGGACGAGCCGGTCCTGTTCGAGGCGCTGCCGTTGTTGGATGTTTTTTCTGTGATTAATGAGTAACGATGTCTGATGGCGGCGGAGGGCGAGCAGGCGGCTGCCTGCGCTCTCTGGCCGGGGGGGGGCTGGGTGCGGGTGTGGGGCGGAGGTGGGAACGGTGCCTCCGGTTCGTTTGGGTTTTTGGCCTGACCAGGGAGCTGCCCGGATTTGATTGATGCTGGGGTTTTTTGAAGCCTACCGAGTGTGGTTTTGGGCTCTGAAATGGGCTGGGTTTCCACACTCAAGCAGTTTTTTTTCCCTGTAACCAGCTCAGAAATAGGCAGAGTATGAGAGTCTTCCATAAGTACCTTTTCACCAGCAAAATGCCACGTTCAATGCAAGTGACTAAAGCCCTTTAAAGGCTCTTTCCGTTTTGTGGAGGCTGATGATGGAGCCTCTCTTCTCTCGCTATAGAAAGCCACCCACTTGCCAGCAGTGGGTTTTCCCCTCAAACTGCCTATCTTCCAAAGGAAGAGTGAGACTTGGCTGTATTTCAGGCTAGTGTTTCCTGAGAAGCAGCCCTGGGCTGAAAGCTGTGTAACTGCCTGCTGGGTACCAGCAGGAGCAGGGGACCTGCCTGTGGTGGGGTATGGGGTGGGGGGAGATGGCTTTGGTGGCTCTGTCCAGCCCCGGGCTGTACCACCTGATGGGTTTGGTGGTGTTCTGCTAAGTGGCACTGCTTTGGGAAGGCACATCTTCTGGAGAGAAATACAACAGTGAATGTTAATAGCCAGTCTTAAAGCTTTGACTGGTTCCAAAAATAGTGTGTTTGCAGCATCCCTCTTAGAAGGGGCGGAGAGGATTTCTGGCTGTTAGTGGTGGAGGTAAGTGTTCTGGTGAGACAAGGAAACAGTAGCTGCCTCTGGAGGTTTGTGGTGCGCAATCCTAATGAGCTGTATGAATGTCAGTGCTTTGCTTTAAGAATTTAAAACATACAATCTGGATGGGCTCTGGTCTTTATGAGGCAGAGCTTTATGTAATCAAATCATCTGCTGATGAAGGCTATTGAGATCTAGCTATTGCTGGGCGAGTTCCTCCTGTTGAACAGACAGTAACATCCCTGCCCTGAGTCCTCTTCACTGTGTGCCTGCCTGATCTGAGGAGCTCCTGTGGCACTGCTGACCTGGGTAGGTCACTGCTGAACCTGTCCTTGAGGGAAGGGGTATGTGCTCCTGCCCTCTTCTCCATCCTGGCCACTGGGAGACCTACAGCATCTTAATCTTCCCAGGAGCTGCCTCTTGAAATGAGCCATCTGCTCTCTGCAGGGTCTGCTCCAAGAGGAGCTCCCTCCTTTCCCGTGCTGCCCTTAAGCTTTCTGCTGAGGGATTTATGTCAGAGTGGCTCTAGCTGTCCTGATTATCCTACATGATGGGTTACAGGCTCGAGGGCATGTTGAAACTTCAGAGCTGAACTGTAGACAAACAGGCCAGGGACTTCTTGGAGAAGACAGCTTCTGTCAAACCTCTTATTTCATCTGTGTGACTCCTCCTTGCTATGTCCTAGCACAATTACTGGGTTAAGCTTGTTGCTGCTGTTGCGTTTATTCCTTGTCCTTGTTTTAGTCCCTCACTTTCTCTTCTGTTCCACCCTCCCTTTTCTTCCTCTCTGGACTTGACTTATCTTTTTCTGTTGTTGCAGTCGTCTGCGAGTCCCCGCTCTCACCTCTTTCCGCGCCGATGTTCTTCCTTCTGCTCATGGGGCTTTGGTGGCACGCTGTCCTTGGGCCACCCCTGCCCTGTGTCCCTGCTGGGAGCCAACGCTCTCCAGTCAGACTTGACAAACATTGCAGGCTTTCAACACAGCATGGCCAAGAGGAAGCAAGCTGCAAGTCACCAGCCTAATTCGTTTTGCCAAGTGCAGGATATTGCTTGTATAATACTGATGAAATGCCGTGCGCAAACATAAGAGATAAGAGCTGCCCCTATGGGATGGGTCTCTTCTTCTGGCCTCCCATGGTGGACTGGGTGCTTCAGCTCTTCTGGAGGCAGTGGTGAAGGTAGCCCTGCTCATTAAAGAATGTTTTTTGTCCAGCTGCAACTCCCGCCGTTGCTGTAACGGCCGTATCTGTGCTAACGGTGACTTCACAATCTGGGTTTCCTCATTGGCTTCATTTCTGCTTTAAGTGGGCCATCATATGCTGTCAAGTGAAACCCAACCAGGCTGGGCACTTCCTCCGAGCTGAGGCAGTGGGAAGTAGCAGGAGGTGGCTTTGCTGAGGAGAGGGGGAGCTCAGCACCGGGGCTTTCCCATCTCCTGAGGTTCTGGGGGTACATCTCCTGCCCCCAGGGCTCTGCTCTCCCCAGCGGGGCACGGGAGCTGGCATTGGCCTGGCACAACATGCTTTTCTCTGCAGAACTTTGGTGGCAACAGGACACAAAGTTATTCACAGAAGCTTATCTAAAAGTACAGTGTGCCTTTTTCTGGGGCTGTCAAGCTCAGCTTTTGAAGCAGCTTTCTTGTTTAGAGAGTTAAATGTGACTGTACTTCACTGCAGTGTTTGTCCTGGTCATCCTGCTTCCACAGGCTTTTTTTTTTTTCTAATAGTCATGTTTAGTCTGATGAATTCTTTATTGCTTATATCAGTGCTCTGTGTGGAAAATTTTTGGTGTGCTAATTTTAAAAGCAAAACAAAACACACTGCAAAAAGCAAACCACCCTGGCAATAAAAACAACAGAATGCAATAAATAGCCAAATCAGATACGATCAAATCCTGACTAATCCTCTCTGATGCACAGAATATCAAGTATTTACTTTGGACTTTTAAAAGCATAAAACCATATCAATTAGCAAACTTGAGTTTTAATTGTGCTCATTTTAAGAGGATGGTACCACTCTGTGGCAGGCTGAGCAGGGTTTCAAAGTACAGTTCTGTGTGCATATAACTGCACCTCTCTGTAATCTATATTGACCTTCTGAAAAAGGCATTTGATTAGAGAGAAAAAGCAGTGTGTGGGCAAAAAGTGCACAAGGAGAGTTGTTTTGTTTTAAAGGTGGTCCTTGACTTAAGGTAGAACCAGTTTGTTGGGTGGCCTTGGGGTCAGGGTATGGTGATAACCATGGAAAGTGTTCTTTGCTGTTGAGTATTTCCCCGCAGCTGGTAAAGAAGGATTCTTTGCAGGTCAGAAAGCTATTGTGATCATTTTCTTTGGTTTCCCTCTTGTCGTGTAACTCTAGCCTTGAGAAGCACATCACCTGATCTGCAGAGGGCTTATTCTGGGGGAACACAGCTAAATAATTCTGCCTAAAACAGAACAGTAAGAGCATGTCTTACGCTGACAAGATCTGGTTCAAGTGTAAACTCGCATCAATGGGGGAAAGGGGAAGGAAAGGTTAAATATGTAGCACTGCCACTTAACTTGTTCTGCAGGAATTTCACTGAGGTGAAGGCTGGTCTCCATATGCTTAGAGGAACTAGTGCATGGCATGGCAGAAGTGTTTAATTGTGCTCTGCTTCAAGTTCATGTGAGGCACGATCTGAAGAAAGAAGCTAAGACTCTGCTGTGATATTAAAAGGCTGGTGTGAGCTGTAAAACCCTTCCTGTTAAGACTGAGACAGAGCAGGAGTCCCAAGGCAGGCTGTGCGGAGGCTTTGTCAATGTTGGGTAAGCACATGGCGCACCTCTGCTTTGCAGGGAGTGAAGGCTTGTGCTGGGCACATCCGAGGTGAGGAATGAGGATGCAAGGTCTAAGCAATACCACTTGCTGACCCATATTCCCTGGCCACGGCTGGGTGAGCCTCTGTGGATTATTTAGCCCTTCCTACCAGCAGCTCCTTGTTGGGAATGAACATGAATGAATTGGACTCCCTGGACCTGAATGGTATTGGCAGCCTGTAGAGTTCATAGCTCTTGGAATCTGGGAATAGCTGATGTGTATGTACTGCAACTTTGTCTTTATGAGCTCAGTTCAGTTCTCCTGGCTGCCTGGTGTAGAGAAAGTTAATGTCATGGCTGTAGTGGTACTTGGATAACTGATCATGGGACAGGGGGTGTCACTCGTGACCCTGATCCCCACCTGCAGGTTATGGTGGGTGCGTGGCAGTGAGTTGAGGCTGCCCCACAGCACAGAGGTCTGTGAGCAAGCATGAGGCACTAAGAGGAGGATAGACTAATCAGTGCTCCTGACAGCTTCTGATCTTGCTCTTTTTGGTCTGGTTTAGGTACCTCTGTGCTGTGGAAAACAGCAGGGTGGGCACCAACCCTCAGATGGCACTTCACAGACCTGTTCCAGGCTCTTGCTCTTTGGGTTTACTGTGCTGCTGAGATGTGAAAGGATGGATTAGAATCCCAAGTGACAGCTGTGGGAGCAGAGGCTTCATGGTGTGGGACATATGGCCCTGAAACAATGAGGGTGCTTGTTTGCCTCCAGTTGTGAACATGCTGTGAGCGAAGAGCGGGTCGGGCTCAGGGCTGCTCACTGCTGTATCAAATGTGTCTTTCTGCAGTTCTCCTGGCTTATGCTGTGCTGGCTTATATTATTTTATCATTAGCTTCCTCAAACTTGCCTGTTTCCAGTGAGCACTAGGCTGCTACGAGTATGTTGAGAGCAAGGGATATTAGCTGTGAGCTCAATCTCATTTGAAGAGAGCGAGTGATGTGTTTACTAAAAACTGCTGAAAGCTGTTGTGTAAATTCACTGAAGAATTTTCATTAGGGAATGTGGATTGCTGTTTCTCCAGAGGGCTTCAGATGCTGTTTGCTGAACTGAAAGATGACACTTCCCTCTTGCAAGTGCTACTGACCAAACAGCATGCTAAGAGAGCTGTCCTACAGA